ACTTAAGCTTTATGTGAACTCACAATCAGACATTAATTCCAACTGATTAGTTCTATCGATTAGATGTGCAATAAAGTTGTTTTTGACTTCTCGTGTTATTTCGTGTTAAAAAATATGTCAATTCATTAACTCGTACAATAAAGAATTTGTGACGTATTTATAATGAATATAAGGACCGAACTTTTATGGCCACGTCAGTTTATAAAGTTTTTCGATGATAACTGTGATCTCAGTGACCAATACATGTACTGCAATTGTACCTACATGTATACGAATACACAGCTTTATAAAATATTATTCAAGAAATAACATGAAAATTCATGCAAAGATTTTCTTAAGACGTGATTCTCGTGTAACAGATAAAAACAAAAAAAATTTTTTTTTACATAAAACAAAGGCATAATTTGTCACAGGTACAATAGTCTGTTCAATGTGTCGCGCTACAGTGCAGAACGGCAAGGGACATAACTTTAGACGCGTTTTTCTCAAAACTATGTTTTTGAAATTGGCGTACACGATGACTCAAAAACTAATTAAGTGAACAATTTCAGACATAGCTCATTCTATTCGTTACACATTTTTCCAGATACTGAACTACAAATATTAAGTATAATTTTTATTTATAACATTTTTTTCATCGATATAAAGCTAAAATACATTCAGTGAAAAAAAGCTAATTTTTTTTCAAACACTATAACTTTTCCAATTTTTCATATTTTTTAGTTTGGTTCAATCCTAGCGTTAACTATTTAACTTTACGAAAATTTATGCTTTTTTGCGATGAGATTGCTATGACAGGTGCTATAGTGTACGTCAATAGGAGTTAAATCGTCGAAGAGGATGACAAGCTTCTATGTACATTAATTAATCAACTCTAAAAACTATCGGCATAAAAAAAATATTTTCGACAGCTGGAAGACGTCCTCCTGTATCCCCAAAAAACTTCAATCCAATACTAGCAACAGTTTTTTACAAAAAATTCATGAATATCATTTACTATTAAAGCTGTCACACGAGACTCCCCCCTTAAGCTAAAAATAAAATAGATACGCAAATCTGCCTACATTGATCATTTTGTGACAATATCGTGATAAAATACGTGCGTGTAAGTTCTTGCTGTTACAAATATAAACCAGTTACCACCATGGCATTCAACGTGTCAAACTTAATTAAATTTTTAATTTCACTCCACGAAACACACTTGTATGTGTTATAAGTGCATAGATACGATCCATAGTCTGGTGGTCAGTAGACCGCAGATATTTATGCAAATATTCACTTTCATTAGCTACTTCACAGAAAAATCAATTTTTCAGATAAAAAGGTTCATTATGTCCAAAGTATACAGAATCCGGCAGAATAATATATAAAACTAGGCACCACGTAATCCCTTATGAAAAAATAAGAAAAAAACATAGAATAAAATTTTGTCACTCTCGGGTTAGTTTTCGATAAAATCGACTTTGAATATCTGCTGGATACGCGTGCAATTGAATAGGTACTTGGCTAGCGTGTCTGATCATTGCATTCCGTTTCTACTTACTACCCTAACAAATACACACGGTTCGGATGAATTTTCAAATTCGATTTTTTCGAAAAGTAAGCCAAGAATGACAAGATTTTATTCTATATTTTTTTTCTTATTTGCCCATAAGAAATCACGCAGTGTTCGCTTTTACATATTATTCGGTCTGTAGAAGTTTTGGTTATTTTTTGATAGAAGTTTCATTTCAATGCATTATATTCGCAATCCAGTGATCTATATAAGAATAACGATAGAATAACTATAGAGAAATAACAGATGTCTAAGGATGGACTATTATTAGGAATTCAAAATAATTCTTCAATATAGAATCATAGACTGAAAACACACCATAATAGCTATATCAATTTTAAATCGCAAAAATTACAGGATATACTCACAAAAGGAGGAGCTGCTCCCTCTCACTGTTTAAAAATCACACACCACATCACACTTCCAATAGATCCATGAGCGATAGACCCAAGAATATAATAGGTAATAACTGATTCCTTCAGTTTCTACAAAAATTCGTTATTAATTTCCCAGTTTCCTCACGTTTTGATTCATCCCGCGACGCAACGGTCTCCGTACAAAACAACTATGTTTCCTTATTGCGAACGTCCTTGCGGTTGCTGGTGGGTGTCCCGACCACGTTGCCAAGCCACGGTTTTATATACCTGTTGTGTTCTTATCGTGTATTTATTTCTTTCTTATTTTTTCATAGACATCTAGCATCTATCACGAGGTCGCGTGGGCCATGTTTAAGCTTGATTCACACTAGCGACCAAAGATACGATCAGGTCACGATCAATTACAATCTAGGATTTTTCGAAGGCATTCACACTCAACGATTAGAAACAGTCAAGGCACGTGGCAGCAGGGCATGAAAATTGTTATGATATCGATTTAGGTTCTCGAAACAGTTATGAAGAACCTTCATTTCGAATAACTGTTAAGGCAAGCCCAGACACGTGCAACACCGAGCACGAACATGCGCAGCCAAAATCCCGTATAACTCAGGCCTTCCTTACCCGTCAACCCATTAAAATCGACCCTTTCAAGAGCCTTCGACAACGCGCGTTGCTTGCGTATGCCCTGTCCATAGACATACACAGGGTGGTCCACGCAACTTGTTCACCCTGAATAACTTCTAACGTATGCATTGTATGACAAATTTCTTATAGAAAATATGTATGGTTTGGAGGGGTACATTAGAGCGTTAAATTTTCAATAAACAAGTGCTGACCTTCATTAGCCGTAAACCTAATAATTAACGAATAATTTCACCTCGTCTCTTGAAGATATACTGTGCGTAGGATCAAGTTTGAGATTCAATATCAGCAAAGATTCCGTGGCTCACGCGTTTTTACATTGCATTCCGTTTCTACTTATTGCCAGCATGAATTAACGGACAAATTTTGTTTCGTTAATAACTTTTTAACAAATCAAGACCGGCGGCAAAAACCTTCTGAAAGTCACTTAGGAGGATGTCACCAACAACATATGTCCAGGTCAAGATCATCGCAGGAAGGTCCTCTAAACAGCAGTTTTACCTTCACTGTAATGGTACCGACAGTTTTTGACGAAGATCCCGGAAACTAGGACCGACCGACATTTTCGTGAAAGGAAAAAGTTGTTCGGTATGTTGATTTCTACAAGATATTGAAAAATCGTCGAAATCGGTGAGGGGGTGGTCCTTCATCCCAAGACATTGCGAACACTGCTAGCGAATGATGACGTCGTCGAAAGGAGATCGTCAGATCGTTAAAAATTTGTTCATTTATCTACTTCCATTTAAATAATAATTATATGTTTAAAAATTTTTTATTTTTTGAACTAAAAGTAATCGTATGAGTTGCAAAATTTTTATTCTGGACCACCGCGCGGCAGGTCTTTCTTATCGTTCGCCCGGGTTACGTAGGTGCGGATGGGTACCCGCGCCCTCACCTGAGAGGTATCGAGACATCGATAGGTTGCGCGCGGTTTCGGTGCATGCAACACCGTTTCCAACGGCGTCTCTTCGACCGTCTTTCTCGCGTGTACAATGCAAATATAACACTCTGAAACGGCCACGTACGCCTTCGCGAGGCGTGGTTGCCCGATATCGATCGTTCATCCGTGGCTCCGGATCGTTTTATCAACGATCCCTTTTTCCTGTCTGGCCCGCATTCCCGCGGGCTCGTAATTTCCCGGTAAGATACACACGGATCTCTGTCGCTGGTTTATCTTTCAAGGATTTTTCCACTATACACCCCGTAGGATACTCCGGTCTTATCTTGGATCCTTATTTCGGACTTATGGTAATCTCTCCGTAGTTCGGGGCGAAGTTTACATCGAAAGCTTCGCGACGCGGACAAATTTAATCATAGCCTGTGCTTGGGCTCATTTGTACCCGGACTTGGATTTTCGTGGTGGGAGAAGGTGACGTTAACCTTTTCATTCCCATTGTTTTCATATGGCTACGTATTCTAAACTACGAAACAAAATATTAGTATAATGTATTTTTTTATATCTGTTTGTTTTTTTATTTTTTATTCTTACTTTGCAATTTGTTCATTGGACATTAGGTAAATTCTTCTATGGGTTATATGTATATCATGTGGCTGACAATTTCCAATGAAATGCCACCTCAGGATGATTGTTTCGTTTGTATTTGTTTTTAAATTGTATAAGTTAGTAGATTGCCTCCTTACTAGTCTCCTTTCAATACAGATTGTGTATACCTCCGCGGCTAGTTGGTTGGAATGTATTTCTGTAAGGTTCTGGAAGGTTTGTGATTTTTTTCTAAATAACTATACACAGTATAAGATATCTGGAAACATTGTTTTACGTTTTATTAACCTATTTTTAGACACTAATTACCCATTTTTATATAATCATACAGAAGATTGTTTTCTTATTCAACCTGTCTTCAAAAAACTTATTCAATCGTCTGAAATCGAAAACTCAAATTGTTTCTTAAAGATTAGACCTAAAAATAATGAAGCCCTACAAATTTTTAGAATAAGTGAGAACCAAATTGTTGCGCGTTTAAATAAAAAGTTATCATTTTCGCCTATCTTTAACACCAAATTCGTTCAATTCAAAACAAAAATAATCAATAGGTACTAAATATTTGTGGGAGGTCCACTAGTTTTAGGTCCAATTTAAAAAAAACAATTTGATTTTTCGATTTCAAATGGTTGAACGAGGTGCTATGTTGCACGTTGCAAACGACCGTTTTTAAGGAGTATCTTCTATGACAAAAATACAACTTTTTGTATTACTATATAAAAATGAGAAATTAGTGTCTAAAGATGGGTTAATATAACACAAAAATTGCATCGAGATATCTTCTATAGTTAGTTAGAAAAAAAATTCCAAAACAATTGTGATCATTTTTAAGCGTCAAACCCACAGATACCCTTAGGGTGTGATATTGTATGATGTAAAATGAAATGGATTGTTAAAATGCAATGTTTTTTTTTTATTGTTACAGATCCTTTGGACCGCGCTTTCGGTTGCTTTGGGAGTCGAACTCAGGGGCGATTTGGTGCGTGGAGTACCGTGTATTAAGAAATATCATCAGCTGTTTTGTCCAACCGCAGGGAACGCATATCCAATGTAATTATTGTAAAAAGAACGTAATTATTTATGAAACGATTGTCTAACAATTCTTTATTCTGTGTTAATATAAAACGCCTTTAACAAAAAGTCACATAAAAACTAACGTTACGGATTCTTTGGTTTTCTTAAATTATTTTGGACCCTTACAATAGTGATTATTTAGAATTTACAATTTTGTTCAACTTTCAATAGTTCGGAAGTTCTGTTATACTAATACACTTCGATGCAATAAGACTTAATTTATTTACTCTCATTCTACATTTTCAATTCAGTTATTACTAAAAAAATTGTTTGTTAGTGTGTGACAATACAGTATAATAGTAGAAGATAGTTTCAGAATATTATAATATTTGTGACATGTAATGACACCTTCAGTTTTGTGATGGTCGTCTGTTTAATGTATTGAGATATATTTTAACATATTAGTTATTACCCAAGCTATTAAAAATGACGAAAGTTTAATCATTTTTTTTACATGTATATGTATAACTTTTTTTTCAACTATGTGCTTCTACTCACGTGTCGTAACAGACACTGAAAATTGTTCAGTTTAATTTCTATCCTTATAATATTCATAAAACATAAATTACAGAATTAATAAGTTTTCAATCAATTCAAAAACATTCAAATCATATTACTTATTTCAAAATATATTGTAATATCAAAATCTTGTCTTGCATAATGAATAATGAAGCCGCAGATGGAAAAGCAATTGAACTAATACCGATATAAAATAAATAATAAATCAGAATTGGACCGTATTGCTTTGTTTATAAAAAAAACACAAAGAGTTCATTATGCTAGAAATTTAAAGAAATCCGTTAGTAATAAACCTGTACCACTAGAACAGTTTAAAACATTCCGATTAAATATTAAATGTACACCTTTTTTGTGAAATTATTGTAATACATTTATATGTCTATAAATATCGTGATTCTTTTCTTATTATGTATAATCGTACATTTTTAGTCATAATATACGTTAAATATAATACATACATTAGAAAGAAAACTGGTGAATGATTTTCAGTTTGAGCGACAGAGCAACGTTTGGAACAGAATAAAACTGTCCTAATAAAAGCAACCTAATAAAATGTTTTTAGCGAACGGATAGAGCGTTTTATTGACGAAAATAAAGCGTTAATGAAGAGGATGTACGGCGACTTCGAAATGAGCTCGGGATACGGTTCACCGACGAAGGAGCCCGGCCATCGGACACGTAGACGAAGAAAAAGCAGAGAAGCTAGAAAACACGATATCCCGGACGGTGGACCTAGTTTTCGGGATATGCTAGAGCCGGATATCGAGGCTAACGGTGACTCGTTCTTCGCGAACGTTAGACAGACCAGGAACACTAGGCAATCCCCTGGAAAGAATCGTAACAACGAGACTGGAAGGTATTCTTAAAACTTAACGAACTTCAAATTATTCTGTTCAATACCCGTATTGTTAAAAGAAATTGTAAATTAATAGTAGTGTAATTTACCATACAGAAATGTCTAATGACCTATTTCGAGTTTCAATCAATTAAGAAGTAAAAGTTCTTTTTCTTAACGTTTCAAAAGATGTCTGAGGGAATATCTTGATGTAATAGTAAAATAATCGATCATTAATAAAAACAAGCATAGATTTAAATTGTATCTTCAACCTTTAACTGGTGAAATGGAATTCTTATTACTTATACACAACTTTACATTCCTATGTAAGAAAACATCGAAATAAACAAGCATATCTGATTATTGAGTAAAAATAAAATAGTCTAACAATATTCATGAGACTCCTTAGATCCGATCTCACCAGGTAAGGGTTAAATTGCCACCAGTAGAAAACAATGTTTGGTAAAAGTTTCAATAGATTTTAAGATATTAAACTTTAAAATTTTACGCTGTGTCTACATGTGAACCACCTCTATCATAAAGATCTCCTTAAATCGGTGCATGTACTTCAGTTCTATTTGATACTTTATTCTATTGAAACTCTAATAGAAAAGAGAAATAAATGTTGGTGTTAATATTCGATGTGTAAAAATGAATCTTTTGCAGAATTGACGCATGCGAATCGAAAGTGGAAATCGTGACTCCATATTGGGCCAGTAACAGTGCTGGTAAAATTCGTGCGATCGTAAATACACAGCATTTCGAACAGGCCATTCACCAGGAAGTTTGCTCGTAAGTGTATCTCTGAACGCCATTCTGTGCTAAACGAAAACTTTGCTATCTAGTATTTATCCTGTTATTCGTTTATCGCACCAATAACAATCTGACATTAACTCTCCGTAACACCTCTAGGTCTTTTATGACACAAGCCCTCAAATAACTCAATAGAAACATCGGTATTGTTATTAACAAAAACATTTAAGAACTCCGACTGAGATCCGGGGAAGAATTTCTGAATTTTTTCAAATTTTTGGTAGCCTACAAGATAAAAAAAATAGGTCTGAACATAAAAAACCCAGGGAGGTGACGGTAGTAGTAAAAATAACGGGGGTCACGAAGAGTTAATGCATGCTCAAAAATTAAACACTAAGTATATGTACATTCCCGTCTATAAGTAGTAGGATCCGTATGGAATATGAAAAAAACATGAAGAGTCGTTAAGAAAATATTGATGATATCGAAAACACGACGTCATGTCGTCGATCATGACTAACATCCAACAAAATAACAAAAAATATTATTTTTTAAATGTATTATTTAAATAAATAGATACTTCTGGATTCTAATACTATAGGTGGTATTCCTTATAAAAAAAATACGCAATACTGTCATTTAAACAGTTTTTCTATCTCGAATAGTTTTCGAGATACTTAATCAAATATGTTTCACAGCCCTAACGTTGAGGGCTGTTTTTAGCCCTTTAACATGGATGATGGCAGCTAAAGAAAAATACGTGTCAAACATTGTTATGAGAACTACTTTCTAACAGAATTGCATCGAAATCGGTGATTGTCACTTCAGTATATTCCCTTGTGAGAGATATACAGGGTGGTCGGTAACTGATGGTACAACCGAAAAGTGGGTGATTCTGCATAAACAAAATAAGTCAAGAATGTAGAATAAAATTTTCTCGTATGAAGCTCTGTTTTCGAGAAAATCAACTTTGAAAATTAATCTAAAACGCGTAAGTAGAAACGGAATGCAACGAACAGACACGCTAGTCATATCCTGTTCAATTTTCTCGAAAACGGAGGTTCAAATGAAAAAATTTTATTCTATACTTTCGACTTACTTTTTTTATCTAGAATCACCCCCTTTCCAGTTATACTAATGCTTATATTAATTCAGTCATAAAAGCCTTGCAAAATAGGTAATTTGTACGAAAGAACATATTTCCTTCACTAAAAAGTGTATATTTCTTTTTAACTATAACGTCTTCAAGATTTTCCTTTACCTTATGTAAGCACTACATTTAAAGTACAGCAATGCATTAAAAATTGAAACAGATGGACGTGTGTAAAACTGTACAAATGGTTTATCATTAATTTTACTATACAAAATTTCCTAGAATTATAGTAAATTTATAATTTGAATAAAAATATATAATACATTTACCCTGGCATTTGCAGTCTTGATAATAGTCGTTGCTTTAGCTTAATAAGATTACCAAAATACTTACAATCCTCATAGAAACAAAGCTAATCAATAAAATAATATAAATTACAATAGTCTATTCGTCACAGGTTGCCACTAATAACCGATACAAGCAGTTGATGCAACACCGATCTCCTAAGTAAAAAGAAATCTTTACATGTATTAGGTGTACCAATAAGTAATCCACCATTTCTTTTTAATAATCTGGTAACACAGTTTAAATTTAAAACATCCTTCTATCCCCTTTCTTCTTCCAAAATGGCAGCGAACATTCCCCGAAATGAAACATTGTATTTCACAAAATATAGTGTATTACCTACCGGTACACCTAATATTATTCTTTCTAAAATGTAAAATACATATTACAAGGAAATCGAGCTACTGCTTTCCGTAACTATCCCTACTCGAACACTCGAGACTCTCCATTAATTCAGATAAAGAGTTTCCACAGTATACTCGGAAGACATGAATAATGGAGCGCTCAGCAGAAAAAACATCTCTGTTACAGGAAAACACAAACGAACCGTTGCACAGGCGACTGCGGCTGCGAGCAGAAGTACAAATGGCACAGATTACTCGCCTACGACCCTGACAACGACTGCAAAGGAATCTTCATGGACTGGTTCCTCTTTCCTTCTTGCTGCGTTTGCAGATGTGACCCCGTCGCTAACAAATTTTCCACCTCGAACACACGAAATTGAAACTTGCTGCACCCAAGGGTGGAAGGGATAGGAGGGGGTAGCGAGTGTGTTTCCTAAGTTGCCATGCTCGTATTTGAAATTCAATCGCTGTCACGACAGGAACTGCAGTGCCACGCACGGATTCGTGCTACCGTTGAATCGTTGATCAGTTTTGTATCCCCGTGTTCTCGCATGGCGTTTGTGCGAGAGGGGATTCAATTTTTCCCGCCAAAACTCTTACTCCCTCTGCCCGTGTGCAACGATACACGTTTAGTTTAATACAGGCACAAATTTCACCCCCTTCTCCAGATTAAATTAGAGATGTGCGATATTGGTTCCAATATGGTTATCGATATACATATACATATATACATATATTTTTTGCGTTAAATATCGATACACGAAAAATATTATTCAAAAAGTATCGATATTCATAATATCGATACGAAAGTCCTATCAATTTACTAATTAATAAATAAGCTACATATATTCAAGAGAATTTCATTTTGGATCAAAACGAATTTTCTAAAAGAAAAACTTTTGCATAGTATTAAGAAATGATTTTATTTAAATTAAGATTCAAAGTATTGAAATGAAAACAAGTAATTTACATTTCAGATAATATTTATTTATTATTAGAAAATTCCAATTTTCTAAAGACAAGCAGATTGAAAATAATAATTGTTGAAAGTTTTGTATAGATAAACGGTTTCTCTTTTCGGTTAAAATTAATACAGTTTGAGAAAACAATCTCTCAGATGGAACTGACGTCGCAATTACTCGATGTATTTATTCTTCTTTTGAAGCATTTTTGTGTTTTGTAAAAATTATCGTTATTTTGAAAAAAATTATCGATACCAGTAATTATTAGTTTCTAAAATATCGATAAAAAAAATAGTAATACATCAATAGGCAAATATCCATATACATATACAGTTATTGATAAATATCGCCCATCACTAATTTCGATCCGTTCTCCTGAATAAAGTCGTTCATCTTTACGTTTAAGGTTAATTCAGGCGTACGTAACCCGGTGCCAAGAATTTTAGTTATTTATGGAGTATACTGCTTGAAGATATTAGAGGGAACGCCTATCGCTTCCGCGCTAATTAGACGTGTTCACCTAATACGTTAGCAAGTAAGGAAGTCGTTTGGATATATAAATAATCATTCTGCATAAACAGTTAGACAAGTAAGTAGTAAAAGTTAATGGAATATTGATGTTAGTAGGATAAGAGTGGATTAAGTAACTATAAGAAAATATCGTAAGCGCCAAATGTTACCTTTCAGATGAAATTAGGAAATCTGCTGGCTCTGTTTCTGTTAAAAAATTACATCTCCTATTATTAAACACTATTCACGGTCCATTTAACGGTTGAAATTTATTCCGTTTTATTTAAATTGCCCTTCTAAACTCTCGCAAACTGTTTTCTCTTTGACTTTTGAAAGAAGGTTAGTTGTTGAAGTTAAATATAAGTTATGTTTCGATTCGTCAAAGTTTACTGGTCAAGTGAAAACAGTGTGTATACATGAAAACACAGTGCCGCAGAAAAAGTCCTACGGTGAAAGGAAATGGGGAAACGTAATTGTACACGTACTCGACGCCCTCGAATAATGTTAATGTATCACCTAAATTCTCACGCGACAAGCCATCGAACGAATCGAATGTCAGGAAACAGGAGAAACCCGTTTCACAGCATTTTCAACGCGTCTTTTTTCTCTCTCTCTCTCTCCTATGGGTGACATAATTAATTTCGAGTGGAAAGAGGCTCCTTCGGCGCGCAACCTTCGCGTTTCGTCCTCCGTACTTGTTTATTGTCGTTTTTATTTTTCTCCCTTAATTTAAGCGGATAAAGCGAGCATACGAGCGAAACAATGGAACGCACATCCGCCACGTGTCTATTAAAGTAACGGAGCAGAAAATATGCCTTCAGTGGTCGTCACAGGAATGTTAACCAGATGACCCTACATCCGTGACCAATTCAACGATTTCGTGGAAGATGCGTTTCAAGATCAGCTTTAATTCCGAATTAAATACCGTTTTATCGTACTCGGTGCGATTGCGTTTAATTTTGTAAATCCCAGTGTACGTACTCTCACAATTGAAGAATATATGAAACATTATGTATTTATTTATTAAGTTATATAAAATGAAGTTTGATGGTATTTCAGAGATAAAGCATGTGCGAGTGTGATTAATGTATTTGATAAAATATACGTTTCTTTTTTAATATACATATATGTATACAACACAGGTTGTAATTGTCTCTTCTTATTTTCTTGTTATAGAAGTTGTTCTCGAACTTATTGTTGCAAATGTTTGGATGAAATGGACGGAAGTTCCTTTGATAAATAGCAGGTTAATAAATTTTATTAAGTTACTTCTGAAGTATTTTTTAGCATTAGAAGAAAAATTCCTTCTTAAATATGTAATTATTATGTTTGTTCAAATCTTGTGACCTGCTAAATTAAACTTAATTGTGTAATTTTTGTGTTAATTTCAGTCAAGCTCTTTATAGTTAGTATTTTATTGCATATATGTGCTATATTATATATGAATAAATTATTGCTATAGACAAACCCGTTGTCTACTCATTATCTGCATGAAAGTAGACTGAAATAAAAATAGATGAAAAATATTGAACCCTAGAATAACACTACTACTTTTTCTGTTTTAGTTAAAAAAAAAATAGAAGAGCATATCTAATGAAAACCCTTTTAGCATACAGCTTAACATTAACTTTTATAGTTTGATTTCCTTTATTTAAATGAAATGTACATGCTATAGTTTTTCTGTTTTTAAAATATAGAAAAGATATTTAAGATAAAGACAGGCTTCCTCGGAAATGTTCAATAATACATATTGTTACGTGTTACCCGATAGGTAGCACGTATTGTATAATGTTGAAGCGAGAGACTTCAGGTTAGCGACGTCGTTTTGGTAACAACGCCAAAACAGAGACAGAGTAGAGTCGTGATACGACTATAGAATAGAAAAGACGTGTTAAGATAAGTACTCCTCCTCTCCAAATAAATAATTCTTCCTTTTTATTAATATTGCCTTTATTTATTCGGAAGTTATGCCGCGTCCACGCAACAATATTTAAAATATTTAGATTTTAAGTTGGGTCGCCCATGAGCTCACAGAGTCACGTATACTCAAAAATTTGAACAGTACGTTCTAGAGTTAAAACTTTTAACTTACAAGTCCATTCTTCGAAAGTAATGTGCATTACAAAAAATTCTACTTTACATTCTTAATGTACTTTTTCACGAAGAATAGCTCAATTACTGATTACAACAAAATTTTAAATAATAAATATCTCCTAAATTGCATACATGTAAGAGTAATAAAAATGATCTGAAAAAATCAGCGAGGACAGTAAAATACCAGAGGATCGACAGAAAATAAAAGTACGACCATATATGAAGAGAAACATTTTAATTCAGATATGCAGTAAATTTAATGTTTTTCACAATAGATATCATGAAGGATGCGCATTACTCTAAAGGGAAAAAACGTAGCAACGAAACAATTTTGCACGCAATCGTACCTAATCTACAAACATTTTAAATCGATCGAATTTCAAAACAACGTAATGTACAGAACGAAACGTTACTCGACGGGACGCAGACTTTCGCTGGGCCGTGAAGCAAAAGAAAATTTCGTATTACATTCTAAGCGTTGGACGGATACCTGATAAGCTACTTTCATCCGCTTGTTTTCTTGCTTTTTAAAAGTAATTCGAGACGCGGTGTCTGAACAGAACGTTCAGACGGCGAACACTTAAGAAAGCTAAGATTAAAGAGGAGCAACTAGAACGAAAGAAAGGGTCACTATCTACAACAGCGTGCGATATTAGACGCGTGTTAGTTATGCGATCAAGACTTCCGTAAGCCGTGACGCGAGGGCGCGGTAGCAAAAAAACGTATTCCAAATTAACAGTTTCTCTTTCTTTATCATACTACCACGGTCACGAAATATCAAATCTATATATACATATACACGTATAGTACAAAAATAATCGCCTCGTTCAAAGTGACGTTTTTCTTTTTTTTCACGAGAATATTGTAGATCGCTGCGGAAACGATTAATTTAAGTTTAAGTAAAGCTTTAGGCGTGTCAGCGTATAAATCTACGTCAACGTACACTTACGTCGAATGGTATTTGGTACGCAACTAACGAGGTATCTAACAATAAAACGCTAACGAGTTCGCCTCGACCGTCTAGAAACCATATTATTAATAAAACGTGTTACTATGACGGAAATTGGAAGCAACGCATCGCTGGGATAACGAGTTTCTTAACTGCTAAAATTAATAAAATTGGGTCGATTCGGCAAGAACAACATCAGGCACGGTACGCCCGATATGAGCTGTTCACACGATACTGATCGAATGTTGACTTATACGGTATTCTTTTTTTCTTCTAATTTTCTCACATATTAAAATGATATATTCCTTTTTTCTTACACTTTTTTTTGCGTCATAAGAATTTCGCAAGATTAAACGACGTTGTACTTCGATTGGAATAAATGGTAACCGACGAAGGCTAGAGCTACGATGTAAAGTGGCTGCATGATCGATGCACTTGTCGCAGAATTACAGAGATCGGTGCTGCAAATGTGGCAGGATTCGACTACACTTCGACCTCCAGTCGCCATTGCGCTGCAAGGACCATCGGTGATGTCCGCCTCGTCCACGTTCGGGGTTGAACACTGACGTATCACTACTCGTTCGCCGTTTTCTGGAGAAAAAATAAAATCATGAGTTCGTATTATTGGTATTATACAGTTTTTTGAGTTCACTATACAGGACGTTTCACAAGAGAACACCGCGAACGCTGGCTCGTCGATTGGAATGAAATTTTGTGGGTTTATAGAGTGATTCCAAACAAGAATAACGGTATGTTTCATTCATGCCCAATCGCCCTTTCAGGGTGAGAACTAACCTCAAATTCGAATAGGTACTCCCACTTTGCTGAGTATAACTCTTAAAGTACAAGAGACAGAAACAAATTTTTCAAAGAAGAGTTTAATGGTACATTAGGTGTTTATAAATCTGCGTTAACAAAATTTTGAAAAAAGTTTATTTTCTTGAAACAAAATTTTTAATAACTTTTTTTATACCATTATTTTAGTGCTAATTGTACCATTAAACTCTCGTTTGAAAAAATTTTTTCTATCTCTTACACTGTAAAAGTTAAACGCGAAAAAGTGGGAATGCTTATTTAACTTTGAGGTTAGTTTTCACAAACTTAAAGGGCAATTGGGCACGAATGAAACATATGTACCATTCTTCTTTTCTCGAATCACGGAAGTAAGCCACAAAGATTCAATTCCAATCCGCGAGTCAGCGTTCGTGGTGTTCCCTTATTACCTTATCAACTAAACGGAATCACGTAAATATCTGCCTTATTTACTATTGTATGAAAAAACATCTCAAGACACAGCTGAACTATATAAAGGAGCATATTTAACGGTGGAATGAATTTTTTCTCAAGTTCTTCTTTTTGAAAAGATTTCAAGATCATCGGTATTTTCTTAAATGGAATTCTATACTTTTTTCGATATTCTTACATAGCATTAAAAACGTCGTTTTCGTACTATGTATTGCTCAGCTACACCAAAAACACTAAACCTGTCAAAATTCACCGGATTTCAAAGTTCTGTTTTATAATTACTGAAAACACAAATGTCCAAATATGTGTTGGTTTTTAATTTATTATATATTCCATATTATTTTATGTATTTTATACAATTGAACTCGGTATAGACTCAACACTAGTAGTCCTATTTTCCTTTTTAAAAAACTGTAAGCTTTTCTTTTCGAAAACTATACCATTCATTTGCAATTTCATTACACAGCCATATCACCCATGGCAACAACAGCAATTCGTAACTCTAATACTGAATTAAAATCAATGATTTGTCATTTTTCATGAGTCCTGCAATTCACCACGAAGCAATCGCCTAATACGAACAGAGGTACATAGTAAGTGACACTTACAATTTCCGGTTTCCATGCAGAATCGACTGCGCCATGTGAAATGTTTCTTATTTATACTGGACTCGAGTATTGTTTGAACGATTTAACGCAACAGGTTGTGTAACGTTTGCGATTCAAAATGTACCGAGAATCTCCGGAAGTAATTATGGCTTTGTGCATGCGAATAAAACCGGGTTCCTTTGTACGGTGATTAGTATGTGTACAATACATGCCGAGGTGATCGTTTGCAAATTCCAGGATGATAACGGGCAAGAATGCAAATATTATACAACGTGTTTCATTAAACATTGTGGTACCGAATAAAAATAATTCGAATATGGAAGAAGTAAGTCAAACGTGCAGAAGAACGTTTATTCTGCCAAAGTTTTAAGTTTTGTGCACTGTTCAATAAATTGCTGCAATACTAATCCTTGAATTAAACTTGATCAGAGCTAAAAACGAATTAAGGAAATATATTTACACATCGCTTGATTCGTTATATTTAAACTACTGGTGACGAATTAATTAACAAGTTTCTTTGATAAAGAATACAATTAAAAATTGAAGTCTGAATTTGGGTCAAATTGACCGGAAAAGTGCTGGAGAGTTTAATTATTTACAAGGAAAGCCACGGAAGTGTCCCCCCTTAAGGGGTCATGCTCAGTCAGAAATTTTCGAAAAATCGATTTTTCACTTTCTACATTTTCTTTAAGTACAACACCTCGAGAATATTCTGTGCAAGTTTCAAGGTAATCCGATTAAAAATGACAGAGTTACAGGCGTTAAAAAATGAACATTTTATATAAGTGTAAGCTTGACTTGAAACTTTAAACGCGTTTTTCTCGAAACTACATTTTTCAAATCGGTGATCGATATTTCTCGAAAACTACTGTCTCGATTTACATGAACCCTTTTACGCCTTATTTCAAATCAGAAAAACTTGTCCTTGAACGAAGGATTCTTTTGTTTGTTCCATACTTTTTTTTTAATCGACCAAAAACGAATGATTTTTTAAGTGAAAATCGCACTTTTTCAAGAAAACGTCTGCTATTTGGTTCCTAATCAATATTGTGAAAAATCCCACGTTCAAGGGCAAGATTGGTTCTTCCATTATATAAACCTTACTGAATTTTTAATTTGTACATGAACCGTTACGAAGTTACAGTGATCACGGCAGACCACTTTTTGTGAAGAGACATCCGGGAGATCGCTCACCATTTATTTACTAATAAGTATTTGTAATTTAAAAAATTACCTTATAATCTATAAACTGCAATCTTTGAAACACAAACACATTTTTTGAAAAAGGACTCATAGTTTTCGAGAAAAAAATTCCCAAAGAACACTCTTTTTTCGGTCTCCTGACTGAGCATGACCTCTTAAGCAGTCAAAAATAAGGAATACGTATTTTTTTTTATCGGCTGAGCCGTGACCTTAAGGGTTAAAACCACCCCTCGAAGTTTCAACCCGAAAGTACTATCTCGAAAACCAGAGGAGATACATGAAAACTTCTAATGGACGAGGTTTGCGGTTTTTTATGTAGAATAATATAGTGCTAATAAATTGTCCAAAATAAAATTCGTTTATAACACAAATTTTTTTTACAATTTATTCAAGTTTACATAATAACAAAAAGTAACGAGCATTTTATTCCAAATCCATTGACATATTTGTTTTTCAAATTGCCTCCTACAGTTTCGCAGATTTTTATTATTTATGTCCCCTACTGTGGGTAAGATCGTGCCCCTTGAGTCACCTCGCCATACTAAATCGAGTTGTATCGTACGATATTGCATTATCAGACAACGTTATTTATACGTGTAAGTGAAAAACAATTATTTTTGCAATATATAATAGTTACTTTTATTAAATTTGTATTAGATCTTAGAAAACAGTTACAGCTATACGCACTCCAGGGGAGATAGATTAAACTGACAATTTTAACGCGGAACGAGTAATTCGAATAACTTAAGAAACATAGTCATGACAATAATGATAATCGTTGGAGAAATGTTTCACACATAGCGTTTTTCGGCACCAAGCACAAGTAATAATAGCTACATCACCACATATATGTAATTGTGGTTCATTGTCCGGCGCACAGCAGAATTCTACGGGATTTTCAAAACGAAGCAGTCTCACTGACATGTATCCGCTTTTATACCACGAATACTTAATAAAATTTTCAAATCGCGGCGTAGAAAACTGATTATCAACCAGTCACTGAAGTTTTAAAATACTGTCTGTCGTGTGGAGATTAATGTCATAATGGAATAAAAGGACTATCTCCGAAAAGCGACGAACAAAATTTTTCCACATGCGAAATCCGTACACGTTTAATTCCGTAAGTTTTCCAGATGTTGACGCTGTAGCAAAAATGTTCGCTGTCTTGAACATTGGTACATGCTGTACCCTAGATCCAAATTCTACTTTCTTCGTACCTTTCAGTGCCAAAGTTCTTCCAGAATCTAATTCAAGGTTGAAACTACTTTGATCCGAATTGTACAAATTCTTAAATCCGTAACAATCGCTATACGATTTAACACGCTCCGAAAAGTTGTGTAAACTTGAAGTGTGTTCGTTTTCTCTATCAGCATTGGACCTCATAATGAACTTCATAATTTTTCGCGATACAATACCATATGCTTTTTTAAATTTTAACAACCATGTACGACTAGTTGTAAATGATGGTAAATCTTCTGACAATTTTGCTTGTAACGCCCACCGCCGAATGTCTACGTCATGCATTATTGTTTTTGATTGAATTGCTTCTATGACATTTTTGTATGTATAATCTTTGATGCGTAGTAATTTAGACTTAACCATTTTGAATTTAGATTGCACTGTTTCTAATTTCAAACGTTTCGTCTTACCACTCTTCCAGTATACCACAGTATCTCTTCTGTATTCGAAACTTGTTGGTGCATCAATGGCCGTACATTTTCCTGATCTTAATTCTGTTCCTCATTATCAGTAAGGTCCATTTCCGTTCATGCCAGCCACTCATTGTCAATATCAATATCCGAATGATCACTGTTTGCAAAGTATCTATCAATATCTAAATATGTATCTTGTTCCATACTGAATATTGGGCTTACCATACTTTGCACAATTATATTATATAAAATGTCTTTTAAATCTAACTCGGCGCTGTTAACAGGCGTTTCTTTTTTATCCGCAGAATTAAAACCTATGGATAGTAGAATAAGCACATTTATCAGATTAATATATACCATTGTGTACAGTAAATTTCGAGAATAACTATGTAGACGTCTTGAATTCAAATACTCGACAAAGTAAAAAGTCACTCCATTTACCGACTATACATACTGCATTTATCGCTGCGCTTATCTATCGCGAGGTGACTCAAGGGGCACGATCTTGCGCACGGCAGGGGACATAAATAATAAAAATCTGCGAAACTGTAGGAGGCAATTTGAAAAACAAATATGTCAATGGATTTGGAATAAAATGCTCGTTACTTTTTGTTATTACGTAAAGTCGCGTCTCAGCCGATCAAAAAAAAAATACGTATCCCTTATTTTTGACTGCTTAACAGACATACAAAGTTTCATCAAAATCGGAAGGGGCACTTCCGTGCCCTCCCTTGTTAGTATGTACTTCTTAATTATAGGTTAATTTACCATAGTTACATGTCTTGCTTGATGCAGAATTAAGTATAATGTCTGTTAATCTTCGTTAAAATGTTTACAGTATTCGGTATATTCATACTTGCAATAAATGCATAGTATTCGCAGTCTATTGATTAGCGATTATAAATGTATACGATTAATAGATTTCTAATGAATGTTTGTTTAAAGCATAGAAAAGTAGGTATGACAAGGTAATATATGTATACTTTTTTGTTTGGAAATTATTTGGTTATTTCTATGTATACATTATGCTTGACATGATGAATATTTATATGTAAATTATAAACAATATAATATTTATATGTCAATTATAACATGTGGTTATGTATACTACTGTCTAGATGTGTAAAACACACGTCACTTCTTTTAAAATATTTATGATATACGTATAACTTTGATTTTGAGTAAAGGAATTTCACTGTAGTATGTACTATTTTTAATCAAACAAATAAAGATGCTTATCTTGTCTACAGAAGAATATTTAGTTATTTACAGAGTAAATTGTACTCCAAACTTTTGAACAGGACTGCACAATGCACGTGTTTAGCATATATAAAAGGAATTGTTTCAAAAATGAATTAGTTTGCAAAACTATTTATTACGTAGGTACTTCTATTTCATTTTTTCACATCGAATAATTTTTGCTGGATACTTTCACGCTTTACAAGACACCGTATACCTATTACAGAGAGCTGTAATTACAATCATTAAGGTTGAATTGCAATGACACATGCACACATATACATTCACTCTTGTCTTTATATGTAGATCTGTGTACGTTATCTAATCTAAGACAATACTTACAACACTCAAAATAGTTTGTTTAAAATTATTTTTGTATAAGTGACAATACCTAAATAAATAAGTGAAGATTTCTTGTATATATTCGACTGAATACTTAATTATTCATTTATTATTTAATACATTACGAGAAAGATATTTATCATGTACATAAAAATTTGACATCTTAACCAGTAATATTAATTTCTTCGACGAAAATGATATAAACTACTTTGAAAACGTAATTGAAAAAGAAAATATCTTCTATACCTTGAACTGTTGACAGTTTACGTTACAATAAAAAACAAATGTTGTTAAGTGGTATTTGTTATTCTTCTAAAAATTATTATAAATTTTATAAATAATTCAAAAATAATAAAAAGGTAATCCATATTTCCTGGGTACCACTTAAATTATTTCATGAAATTTTCATTATATTTTAAAATATACATATAAATTTAACGTCAACTGTCCTTCTATTTATACTCTTGAATCTACATACACTTCCATTCATAAGTCACTTGACCCTTATGAATAATGACGGATAATCTCATTCGCAAATTCTTCGTTAATTTGTCAATATGTCCTTAAAATTGCCTAAATTATATTGAAAGTAATAAACACAAATAAATGTGTACAATTACTTCAGCAAATTGCAACCTTTGTTTCGATGTCCATTTTCTTCAAAACAATAAAGTGTCCAGTTCTTTACAGACGAAAGTATACACATTACGTTGAAGAATAATCCACAATAAAAATAATAATGGAATCATACTTGTATTATACAATCTTCTGTATTTCAGTGGATTGTATAAAACTACTACATAGCGCTTAAGAAGAAAGCTACTTATAATTGAATTATTCCAATAAACTAACGACAAATATCCCTATTACTGAATCTATAGATTTCAATGTTTGAAAATACAGAATATCAAACGCCATATTAGTAAAAGATTCAATAATAAAAAACCATTGCTTACAGAACTGAATTTACGTTCTTCGGAAACGGTCTGCACTGTTCAAAACACCGACATAAACATTCCCATCTGTGAGCTCCATGATACCCGAGTGACGAACTAATTAGAAAAAGACCTTCCCCGAGGAGTTGTAGAATTATAATTCGCCGCGGTTATGTAAATTTTGATATCCACCTTATGTGGTTATTGTGAATATGCACGTATGTATGTGCGCCATTAATCCCAAGATTCTAGTCATGTTAACACGATTAACCTCAATATTCATGATTCCTGCACCGACGAGTGATTTCTCTTTAGCGCGGGTGTGGTTTCGGCCTTGGTTAAACACAATTATCGCAATTATGGCATGGGAGCACGTGTTGTGAGTCACGGGCGCAACACGGTACCGCTTGCGACGATCAACTCGAAGATGATGATCGCCCGGTGATTCTACGAGACACTTAAGTGCGTCATTCTACGTAAAGACATTGCTCATAATCGAGTCGGGCGTCGTTGCTCTTTCGACCGTGTAGCAACGAAACTACGAACGACGTAACTCAACCGAAGTTATTCATATTTAGTCTAGACCTAGATCTAGATAAGATGGATGCACCAATAAATGAATACGTACCAGTGTACCAGTGAATGAACATTATGTATACAAACGAGTAAATTAAGCTAATAAAATAAACAAATGATTAAATATTGATTATTTTTTCATTGGTTAGAAATATTCATTTACTGGTTAATATTGTCCAATTTTCAATATACATATAGGGTGAGTCAATAAGAACTACTGTCTAACATAATTCGTTACCTATTGATGGTATCAGAAAATGTTTGAATGAATTATGATAGCATTTCAAGGGACGCATCGGACGGATGCAATTTGATTATTTTTATATCTTTTTTTATTTTTTTAGATATCAAGGTGACCTTGAGTTTTTTTAGGATGAATGCATATGTTTTTAGTACCATCAGGCTATGAGTCACTGTGTTCGTCCTTCCACCAACAACAACGTGATAGTAAAAAACAGATGCATTGACCTCGAAAAAACTCAAGGTGACCTTGATATCTCCAAAAAAAAAAGTTATAAAAAAATCAACTTTCATCCATCTGATGCGTGCCTTAAAATGCTGCATAATTCATTTAAACGTTTTCTAATACAACCAATAGGTAAAAAGTTATTTTAGATAGTAGTTTTTACTGACTCACCTTGTACATTCAAGTCGGATGAAGGCACAAGGAAATTAACACGTGCCAGTGAATGAAAATTATATATAAAAACGAGTCAATCAAGTTATTGAAATAAGCAAATGATTACGTATTGATATTTCTCAAGTCCTTGTTTCATATTTAAGCAATTTTTGCGCCATTGGTTAGAAATATTCATTTACCGAATATTGTTCGTTCACTGGTGAAATCTGTATTTGTTCAAATGGAAATCTATACGTTATAAAAAAGATATAGTATTGAAAAATCTAATTTTCGTCTGTCAGATATGTATTAATATTACTATCATTTAAATTTTGACTTTAATAGTAAAAAAATATCGTAAGTGTTCACTCATTGGTGCGTTTACTCTACTTAGACAAAATAAGTAATTGTTGTACCACTTGTGGGAACTTGTAAACTAAGAGTTCCTAAGACATTGTTAAAGTTTATATTGTCTTATTAAGTTTCGTTTATTGTTGAAGGTTCTACACTGTGCAAAGTAAAATAATTGATATTTATTTTAGAAATTATTTGCAGTATAAAGAGCTTTTCCCTTTTATATTTTGAAACAGTAAGCCATTCTCGTACGAGTTTTAGAAACTGCAAATTAGATGTTCCTTAAACATTATAGAAAGTATTATCTTATTAAGTCCTTTTTATTACTGAGGGGGCTTTCCAATCTGTATAGAAAAGTTACTATTATTTTTTCTACAAATTATTTGCACTAATTTAAACAGCCGTCTTATTTTAATATTTAGAAAAAATGAGTCATTTTTGTACCATGTGTAGCAACTATAAGCTCTATTACTGCTATAGGAAATAAACATTATATGTAGAAGTTTGTATTGTTTCATTAAGTTTTTTATTATCGAATAAATTTTGCAGATTCGTATAGCTAAGACGTTACTGTATATGTAGTAATTTTGGTTTGAAATAGTAACTCTTATCTTAGAAGAAACAAAATTGCTTTGTTCGTTAACGAATTATTTCCTCATTCTTAAAAATGTGTACAGTCTATTTCTCGTATAATTGTTTTCATTGCTAGTAGGATGTCAAATAGGCCCTATTGAAAAACACTATTTATTAAATTACTATTAAACACTACTGAACTATCTATTAAACAACTGGCAAGAAAGACTTCCTTTATGAAAGGATTATTCATCGCTCTTACAGTTTTTATGCGTTGCATGCCTACAAGGCAAAAAAGAAATCAATTCGCTTCGATTTTTCCTGATGCTACAACTTTTGTGCAAATCAGTTCACATTTATGTAGTATGAATAGTAAACGGAGGAATGTGAAACTGAATTCTTTGAAAATTTTATGCGAATACATTCATGTAATTTTTTTAATTCTCTTACCTCTTCTCACGGTTTTACGACATATCGGTTTCGACGAGTCATAGAGACCAGCTTCGCAGACTTTAGTATGGAAGGTCACTTGGTGCTCCGTGATGTTCATAGGATCGCCACACAGGGCATTCGCGTTAGAAGCACAGTCCCAGCACCGTAGGGCCGAACCTGTCGGATGCATTACGAAAAATCAATGAATACATTAAACTTGGTAATGTACAATTCCTTGTTGTAAAACCTTCCCTTGTTTTGATATTATTTCATTATTTCGTATTTAGTTACAGCAAATAATATTACTTCAGCTATTTCTAACGACTACAGTAAGTGATCAAATTATTAAAGCCACAATACGAGAAATATGTTTTTTGTGTTTGTGTAGTAGGTATAAAATCACAATAGGGTGGATGCACCAGTAAATGAACGCAGAGCAGGAAATGAACGTTGCATATAAAAACGAGTAAGTTAAGTTATTAAAATTAGTAAATGATTAAATATTTATATTTTTCAATTCCGTGTTTCGCATTCGAACAACTATTGCGCCATTGGTGACAAATGTTTATTCACTGGTGAAATCTGTATTTTGTCTTTTTAATTTGATTAATTACACTTTTCCAAAAGTTTCAAATAGAAATCTATACGTTATAAAAAGGTCTAGATATTCAAACATCTCATTTTCATGTACCAGATATTTATCATTTAAAATTCGATTTTCATAACTACAAAATTCCTCATGTGTTGATATATTGGTGCGTGTGCTCTACCAAGAATTTTACACTGGGCAATTTTTAACTCATAATTGTTCAGTAAAAATACACAAACAAATTAATCTTAGCATATGTAATTATAAAAAACGCAGTGGAAATCGTAAAGTCATAAATTTATGCTGTCGGCTTTAATACTTTGATCACACACTGTATGTAAGTCATACTTTTGTATTCTCTTCGTAGGAATCTTTTCACAAGAACTTGAGTAATATTCCAGAATGTTAACAATTGCCGTCGACTATAATTCATTCTATCAGGATTACTCATTTTCCTTGATGGCGTAGACCACAGACACTTGCGAGCGTGATGTAATTACGTTACTGCTTATATCGTACCGATATCTACGCACTTTATATTATGAAATTAATATTAAATTATTCACGTAGTGAACAGATATGACAGAAGACAGTTAGTCTTAATTGAAGGTTAAATTAAAAAACTAATTACTAGACTGCGGATTGTTATATAAATTCAGATCTTTGTGAATTAATTCACTGAATTGAAATTATTTCAAAGCTTCGTTTCCTATATCAAATGTTTCGTCAGATCTAAAGTAATATAGAATTTATAAAAAAAATTATACTGTGTTGTATTCTGCATAGTTCACATTTACGATAAATGCATAAAATCCGCAGTCTACGACACAATTACCATACCATATATATTTTCAATTCTAATTTGTGGCACATTACTCTTCTACAGTTTTTATAGAAATTATTTCAATTAATATAAATATAATATTGCATTTGTAGCGTTGGAGTAAGTTTTTTGTACAAACAATAATAACAATTTGACCGACAACAAAGGTCAGCTTAATATGTTTAATACGATGATAAGTATGAACCGGCAACATAACAAGAAAACAAAACCCGCAATAAAGGAGTCACGACCGGGGAAGTAAGACAATGCCCAAGATGGAGACTTAAATTGTGAAATGATGTACTTAATGGTTTTTGCTGATGGTTCTGGAGCTAGTTTCTAAATGAGTCATTGCTATTGTTACTCAAGGCTGCGTGCATAAACGTTGAACTTTTTTTTTTATGATTTTGTTACTCACATAAACAGTGACGAAACAATCTTGTTTGGTAACAACTTCAAAGGACTCTCACATAGAATTCATGTACATTAGTATGTTATGAAATTAATTTATCGTAAAAAACACCCATCAAGAGACTAAACTTTATAAAAAAATATTATTATTGGATATTAATTTTTAACCTGTAGAGGGCGAGAAGCCTATTTTTAGACTCCGGAGGAATCGCGTATTTTTCGTAGCATAACACAAACATATAAAATATCATGAAAAAACCTGCCTGTCCTCTAAAGGTTAATATTTTTTGCGTTAAATAAAGTATAATAGAAGTATTAAATAATATTTCTTTAAATCAGTATATGTATATGATTCTACTTCTTCTGACTTCTGCGTATACAAAACAGTTTCATCTACAGAAAAAGAAATGAATATTCATCTTTGACACCAGAGCTACCAAACCCGTCAAACGGGTGAGAGATTTCTTATTGTACAATTACTGAAATTATAACATTGCTTTTGGCGTTATGTTAACCTTTAATTTACTATACATATACACTATTACACTATATTAGACCAGATTATATTATACATATATTATGTATATTACTATATTTTCCAATTTAATTTAGTGGATAATACATTCAATACTATGTAGTAGTCCTAGTGTTAACATCTATCCATTCCTCATTTTGCCAACTTAATTTGTCCCTCGGTGTCAAATTAACACAATGATAAAATATTAATATAATAGAGATAAATAGGTAAATTTACAAATTCCCTAAAATAAAAATCACGGAGCCTCAGAAAAACTTATCTGCACATAACAGAATGACATCATTTCTTAGTAGATCAATATGTCAAATTAACACAAGTGACAGATGAGGATGAATAATGACCAACTACATATAAATTCTCTGTTTCTAAAAAAATACATGATCTTATCAACTCATAACTAGATTGCGGAAGTTTATACAACTTCAGAATTTTAGATACTAATATCTAAAAATTAAAATGTAGCAGAATTTTGAATTCTCTGCTAGAGGCTTTACTATGTTAAAAATAATACATAATAGTATCAAACTTTATTAAAACTTTCATTTTATTGCATTGTCCAAGTTAAAAAATGCTATAAGTGCATAAACATTTGCAGTTTACATATAACTTCTCACGTTACTTTTATGTTAAACATTTTCATCCCACGAAACAAACGGTAAATCCTTAAATCTTTATCCAACATTGAAAAGCAACATCTGAATAACAAGCCTGAACTCACCTGACTGTGCGAGAACGACCAGGCCGAAGATCACCAACATCCATTCTAATCTGGCGGACATTTTGTACTGGGCACTCGGTGATTTCAATGCTTTTCGTGTTCTAGCGGCAAATCGATCGTCGTACGGCACGGATCACAGGCGTGTTGGTTCAGTAGTCCCGATGTAATATCATGCGGGGTTCTCGGAAAATCGTCGGCAAGAAACTGCTACTGCCACGGAACGTGTTCACTACGATACTGAAGAGGCAACACCCCCTTTTTGCGCGGGACAGCGTGCACATCGGCGGTCTCCGTTTTTCCCTCACTCCCTCTCCGTTCGTAGTGTCTTTTTTCCTCTCCTCTTGCGGCGTAATAACATATCGTGCCTAATAACCCCGTAACCCCTCCGTGGACGATGCAAGTGCCAGGAAGTAGGAGTCAAGAGCAAACAACCGAAGGAGACTTTTAAGAGAGCACAAGAGACGAAACAATAATTGCGGTTAAAGGGGGGATAGAGAGAGAGAGGTAGGGAGGGACACTGCTCGCGGCCCTCATTGGACTCATTAGGACAATTACGGGACCGTTCAGCGCTCTGGGATCTTTCGAGGTATATGCTGGAAACTAGAGTACGTGCTCGTTCAGTAAACGCTAGTTTTTCAGATTACTGCCGAGATAGATTGGACGGATTCTGTTGAACTGATTTTGGAAATATTTCTGTTTGACTGTTTGTAAATAAGCAGAAGTTCTGGTATCGTAAGGGATGAGTACGGGAGTATTAGCTGTATTGAATAATATTTCACCTTTCTTATTAATAAAATAGGCTCAAAACGGACATGCTCACTTTGACAGGCATCCCAACAGTACGAGACACTATATTTGATCACTCCATTCGACACTTCATGCACTCGCTTAACCATTAAAATTCTGACATTACACAAACAATCTCACACATACCTATAATGGGTGATCAATTTATTATGAACAGGTGGGGAAATGACATATTTTATGTTTTCGGTGTTATTATGACGTCAATAACAATGAAGTATACCCTGTCTTTTTTTCTTAAGATATAGATACACAATTTAACTTTTTTTGGTATGTTTTGTAATCAATACAATAACAAGGTACCAAATTGTGCTGCCTTTGATAATTCGTAAGTATGACTTGTTATTGTCAATTTAGGTGTTAATTTGTTGATCGTTGGTGTCCTTGATTATTATTTGCTCTAACAGTGTTAAATTATAATGTGTCGAAAAAATATTGAAAGTATGCCGAGAAGAAATCAAACAATTATAGATGCGAAGAGTGGCGTGACAACATATTGGTATGTGTATTGTAAGTGTATTTTCGATTCCGTTCTTGATCGAAATTCAAATGAATGGTACTTCGAAGTGTTCGCAATAATTTGATCACCCACTGTAACAGAAGACTTAAACGATATCATCCTTTTGACATAATATATAGATCGATAAACTCATTTTGTTGTCCTCCCTTCTGCCTACTTAAACCACCTACACTAACGACACAAACAATATTTACTCCCATTAGTTTCAAGAACACGGTACATGCTAATGAAAACCATAAGAAACACACAAGATGTGTACAATTTTTATTGCAAAAGTCCCTAAATACTGTACAACAACTGTACCTTTATTGTACATATACAGTACGGTTCGGCTTACTTAACGAAACAAATTTTTTTGTACTTTTTTACGGGACACCATGTCAATATGTTCTTCCTTTTAAGTAACATGGTATTTTTTAAACTTTCTTTAGTTAAACATTAGGAGTTGCTACCAGCCATTAAATTTTGTATTTTTCTAAAAAATAGGAATTTAACTTTCTTGCTGACATAATTATGATTTTTTAACACGTTGATTTAACATTCGAATATTTTTACAAAATAAATTTGTGGACGAGCAACTTTTAAGAATAGTCAATTCACATTTATAAAAGTCTATTAAATAGATATTTCTGTTGGAATTACTTAACTAATAGCAACAAATACTGTTATAAATACTCTATAAATCCGACACTCAGATTTATAGAGAGCCTGGTATATGGTTTTGTTATTCATAATATTAATGAGCGGCTCTCATAACAGCAACCTCTAAAATATTATGAAATATAATAAAATTTTAATCACGCTCGTTTATCAGCATACACAACAAAACGGTAAGGTGCCCAAGCAATATTTCATAAGTTAAATTTTAAGCACCACTCTAATGTACAAATTCTGAATTTGCTGTTTAACTTGGCTATAATGGGAATTTACTATGATAGGTAACTTAGTTTGAATTCGGTATAAGGAAGATCAGAGCACGATTAAGATTATCTAGGGAGCTAATTTAACTGGATGCTACATAGTTGTAGCCGCAAAATCGTAAATAGTGCAGAACATTTTTTTCTCGTATGTGTGAATCAGAAAACAGGAATTTAATAAATGGTCGTTAAATCGTATGAAAATTTAATTCAATGTTTTAATTGTATTAATTACTTCAGATTTTTCAATTACAGTATGTATTTCATAGCGTCTTTTTTTAAGAATGCCGATCAGTATAAGATAAATGATTATGGCATTGAACACTTGTAATGCTGTAGTTTTAGTATTTAACAGATACATAATTTTGAAAAACGTTGTAAACATGTTTTAACCTGGAACGTTATGCTTTCTTAAAAAAGTAATCAATTGAAAGCAATATTATAAATAATAATATGCCAAAATTTTAATACAGTACAAAGGTAGAACATGAAAACACCAAGAAAGATATACAAGTTATACAACTAGTATTAATAATATTTAAGAATAAATAAATAAATTACAAATATGTAATCCCGTCTTATTATTTATTATTATTTTGTTAATATGGAAATAAAACGTTTTAAAATAGGTATGGATAACAAAATTTACACATATAAATTTCTTTCCTCAGGCAGGTCTGAACACCAGCCAAGCATTGGATCATAAAGGAGTGTCCAACGGTGAATCACCCTGTTGCAACTTGAAACGGTTGGCCTGTATCCAAAATAGGAATTGTCTAAATAAGTTATGTACATGATTTAAAGTATAACGAAATATACACGACTTACATTTTGTATTTAAAAGGTTTCAATAATACTGCTATCCCTATTAAAAGTGTGGTAAATAAAAATTGCTTGTGTACTATTTTAAATTTCTATTTGGATAATATTTTAACAATATACATAAAATATAGCAGTTTTATAGCACGTTTCATAACAAAATAACATTCATCCGACATTAACTAAGCCCACAGTTAATATCACGCGATTAACCACAATGGTGTTTTTGGCTACTTGATCGTCACTTTTAACACATTTTCTTTCAATTATTTTATGTTGTCAGAAATATTCAAAATGCAAGTCACTGTTTTATTATCTTGTTTCCTTTAAACTATTTGTGTTTCGTTAAAAATATATTTGTCTCTAGTTTCTGAAGTACAGAAAATATCTCAATATCAGTTTCAATTGATAATGCTTAATACAAAAATTCTATACCTAAAATTCTGAGAAATAAATTTAAAGATATACTTTTTCAAAGTATGTATCTGAAACGAATCGTAATAAAGCTCTCTACACATGAGTAGCACACAAGTGTAATAATTATACATGAAATTGCATATTAGATTGATTACCCATTATCATCTACAAGGCATAACGAATATCGTGAATCGAATTACTAACTGTTCATTATTTACTAGCCACATAGGAGCTGTTAGGTCGCGCAATGCTCGCACTTAATTGCCAAACCGTTACACGATCCTTAGAAGTGAAATCGAAAATAAAGCACATTTTAATTGGTTCTTAATAACTGTATTTACAATATAGTGTGTGTGTGTGTGTGTGTGTGTGTGTGTGTGTTTGTGTGTGTGTGATGTTCACCGGGTGAGTTATGGTTTGAGTCTGTTATTACCAAAAGTTCACCGCCGTTGGCAATATGCTTTGTCAATAACGATTTCGACAATCACAAATTTCTATTGGTTGAACTCTGAAGGAGTAGGGATATTCCTCGGATTTCCCGAGGTTCGTGCTGGAGGAAAAGGTTCCATTAGGAAAAAATGTACGTCTGCAAATAATTAAGATCACGTGGCCAAGTTTGGCTTGACCGTGCCGAGGTTGCGGGAGTCACCCAACGGTACAAGTTTATGGCGATATTGTTCTTCGCCTGGATGGTACAACGCGACCGGGACCGACCGGCTGCCGACCAAATGTTGGAACATTCGTCTACTGTAGGGTATCGAAAAGATTAAAAAGATACGCTATTGAAATGAAACAGACAAGAAATAAACGCGTACATTATTACGGGAGAGATTGAATAGCTAAATTGGAGTTTTGTTATAAAATAATAGCCGCTGCTATGAAGCACTATACCTGCACGACGGAACAGGATCGGTAAAAATATCAAATAAAAACCATGGTACGATAATGAAACCTTGTAATGCTTTATAATGATAGTGTCTATGATAAAATGACAAAAATGTCACTTTTCGATAGACTGTAGGACAAAATCCATCAATAAGATTTTCAATTTAAATTTTATCTTATACAGAAGACAAATTCGCATTTGGTCATTAAAAATTTAACGTAATTCAATTTTCAATACTACTAAATGAAAAGTTGAACAATATATTTTTATATTCATATATTCATACATATATTCATTCAATAAAATGCGTATAATATTAAAAGTTTTAATAAGTAGACATAAATATCGATCTGTAGAGAGCAGCTGAATGTTTCTAAAAGAAGAAATGGGCCAATCTCTGCAGTAAACAGAACAAAATATTCAGATAACAAAGATCCATCTGCGATATAGTTGTATTTCATCGATTTCTAATTTGCGACCGCCCAAGTTCGTTACAGATATGTAAACGCAGGATTACAAAGTGGAGCTTGCCGACTCGTTGTAGAGGACTTGTCAGGGGTCGGGAGGCCAATTAACCCCGCAAGACATTACCGAATTGACTTCAGTATTTGACCCTTTCTTCTCGACCATATGCGTGTAAACACGAATACGTGTGGCCAGCACACATACACACGTTTTCCTGTGTACAAGCTAAAAGTCACCACCATTGATGCAAAGCTTGCGCCGAACGGGATACGTCTCCCAGTTCATTCATAAAGTCATTTAATTTCTGCCTTGGAAGTCAACAGTCATTTCCGGTCGTTCGACGTCGTCGTCTTCCCCTTTGTTAACCGAAAGAGACTAATATTTTTTATATTGTTTAAGAATCTTTTTTAATCTTTTCCGACCGTAGAATTCCATTCGGAATCATTAACTTACTTAACATTTGTAACTCATATTATGAACGTAAAAATTCAAAGTGGCAT